TATCTAAACTGATAAATAACAGATTGGAGATTAAAATAATAATTTTAAATGATTAATAAAAACAGAGATGAAAGATTTACTTAAGCCAGAATTATAATTTTACTATGGTAAAATAAATGTTCATTGATATCTTCAAAAGATTTTTAAATTTTGGCACACTTTTTTTTCTATATAATGTTGATATGGTAACTAATAAATACTGTAAATTTTGTTATGCTAGCATGTGTGGAAATATTCAAACCATGTGTGTTACAACTAACCCGGCGTTACTTTGTGCCCCCTTTTTTGTGACTTTTTCTCCAGGGATGTGTCATCCACGGCACTGGAGACGCTGCCCTCTCGTGGCCTGGAGTCGGTGCTGATGCTGGTGGCTCGTTCAGCGTTCGCCCTGAAGAGACTTCCTCCTCTGAACACACTGAAGAGCCTGAGAGAAGCGCAGCTCACGTATCCCAGCCACTGCTGCGCTCTGCTCAGCTGGGACTCCAACAGGTCAACACACAAATCAAAACACCAATGTGTTACTGTGGAATAAAATATCATTTCATATTATCAATCGTCATTTTGAATAAGAGCATCACTTCTCGCTGAATGAACGTTATAAAATCATTGACATAATGAGATTACAAATAGAGCTCCAATAAGATTTAAGCAGCTGAGATTTGTTTTTAATATTGTGATTCACTGTTCAAATCTAAACCAGAGGATCATGAGTTTAAGTCAATGCCTTCATGTGGTGGCCTTCATTATGTCTGAAATCAGTTTTCTGGTTCTCATACAGGGAGGGATCTGTTATCCCTGCATTAAGAAATGGATCATCAAACTGTGGTGACAGTTCACCAGCTAAGTAAGACTAAAGTTCTGTTTTCTGATTGCACAGCCCTGCATCTTGGGGAAAAAATGCTGCTGATTTACAAAAAAAGGCCTAATAATACTTAATTTGATACTGAGTTAAAAAAAATATTTCCATCATTTAGTGGGTTTTTTTTTCTCAAAAATGTTTCAAATTATACATGTATGTATCCACTTTAATGCACTTATCAAAAGAACAAAAGCAGTCAAATGTTAAAAAAAATATCATAATAATGACAAGAGGAAGTATTCAAAATGTATCATGTATCATTTAACTTGCAAAGGAGTGGAAAAAGTGAAAATCAGGATTAGACCAATTTAACTGACCTATGCAATCCATATGAATTTTATAGCTCTTCGCTCTGGTTGTATATCAAAAATAGACTAATTTGTTCCTGATTTTATTCATGTCAAAATATTTAAGATGAAACATCTGTTACAAACGTTTCAGAAGATTCTAAAAATGACATTAAGTACTCCATTCTATGGTATAATATATAAGCTTAACCTCTCAGTGTTATTTTAGTATCATTGATTTACTACTATAGTTTTTTATTAATATTTTTAATTTTTAGAAAGTTAAAGTTTTTGTAATTTTGTTGTGTTTTTGTGATTTTATTAGTGTTTTTTATGTCTATATATTTTTATTTAAGTTTTAGTTATTTTAGTATTCCAAGTGAAACTAAACGAAAATGAGAGATGTAGTTAATAAAATAAACTTAAGTGTTAAATTTTTTTTTTTAATATATTTGATTTTATTTCAGTCAGATTCTTCAGAGACCAGATCATCTGAGCTATGTAATCCATATGAATTTTATAGCTCTGTACTCTTGATGTATACTTTAGTCAAACATTTTAGTTCATTTGTTGTGTTTTTATTAATTTTTATTTGTTTGAGTTATTTTAGAATGAAAATGAGAAATGATGCTTGGCAGCTAGCTGAAATAAAATAAGCGCTATTTTTTTAATATTGTATTTTATGTTAGGTAACGTTTATTTTATTTATGTTTTATTATAAATAAAACAAATACAACTACTTAGGCAAAGTATGGTGTCATATTTTTCACCATACTGTGACATGACTGTTTTCTCACTGTGTTCATTCTCAGTCCATCTGACGTCACCTCTGGTGATTCTCTAACGCTGGATGGTCCTCTTGCATCTGACATTGTTGGATTCACATCAGCTGAGGACACGTTTGGCAGCATGGACTTCTATTACCCAGAGCTGGACCTGTGTCAGCGCCGACCGGCCCTCCAGTGCAGCCCAGAGGCTGACGCCTTCAACCCCTGCGAGGACATCGCCGGATTTGGCTTCTTGCGAGTGGCTATTTGGTTCATCAATGTTCTAGCCATCGTCGGCAACCTGACGGTGCTGCTTGTATTATTCACCAGCCGCTGCAAACTGACTGTCCCGAAATTCCTCATGTGCCACCTGGCCTTCGCCGACCTCTGCATCGGCGTGTATCTGCTTATGATCGCCACCGTGGATCTCATGACACGAGGGCATTACAGCCAGCACGCTATCGAGTGGCAAACTGGAGTGGGATGCGGGATCGCCGGGTTTCTGTCCGTGTTTGGCGGCGAACTATCTGTCTATACTCTGTCTACCATTACCGTTGAACGCTGGCACACGATCACACACGCTCTCCGTCTGGAACGACGTCTGGGATTGAGGCACGCTTCATCGATAATGGTCGTCGGATGGGTGGTTTGTCTAGGAATGGCTCTCCTCCCCTTAATGGGCGTCAGCAGCTACAACAAAGTCAGCATGTGTTTGCCGATGGACATCGAGACGCCTTTATCCCAAGCCTACGTTATACTCCTCCTGCTGTTCAACGTTGGCGCTTTCCTGGTGATTTGCGGCTGCTACGTGTGCATTTACACCGCCGTTCGCAACCCTGAGTTCCCCGGACGCGCCGCCGACGCCAAGATCGCCAAACGCATGGCTGTGCTGATCTTCACCGACTTTCTGTGCATGGCGCCCATTTCGTTTTTCGCCATCTCTGCGGCCTTTAAAGTCCCGCTCATCACGGTGACCAATTCTAAGATCCTCCTTGTGCTTTTCTACCCCATCAACTCGTGCGCAAACCCCTTCCTCTACGCCATCTTCACCAGGGCCTTCAGAAAGGACGCATACATCCTTCTGAGCTCCATGGGCTGCTGCGAGAGCAAAGCCAACTTGTACCGAATGAAGACGTACTGCTCGGAGAACATCAACCGAAGCAAGAGCAGCTCCGGCTCCAATGGGAACTCCAAAGCTCCTCGCGCTGTTGTGTGGATGTCCAGCTTTCCTCACGTAACACCTCGACCGCGGATGCAAAGGGTGTAGGGAAACAGACATTCAGACTCATTTAATTCCATTATTTTCTTGGTGTTCTGCCCTTGAACTTTGCTCAATCTTATCTGGGAAGATGATATGGTTTTCGGAGGACACTGCAACTCATTTCCCCTCTTATCTGTCAATGTATTGACTTATAATTCAGAAGACACATGAGTCTTTTGACAGAGAATCTAGATGCATCAAAAAGCAAAAAGCCACATTATGTGACAATCTCTACAAGATCGTTCTTATTTTACAGTGAGGTGGGAACCATCAGTCATTTTCAGAAACTCTTCACATGCTACAAGAGCATTTTATCCATTTGTTTCCTGAATTCAATCTGATTACTGTTTTACATAATTGCTGTAAAAAGTTTAATTTGTCAGTTTGAGGTCTTTTAATGTGGAAAAGAGTTTCCTTATTTAAGGTATAGGCCTATATCTAAGTTATATCACTGATGTTTAAAGAACTTATTGCAGTCTGATTGTCTGAGTTGTTGTTTTATGTGGGCTACTATGGAATAGCGCCACTTCGTGGACAAATTTCAAAACTATTGTTTTGAAAACATGAAAGATTATTTTTTTTTTTTTAGTTACTATGTAGTATTTGAGGTCTAATAAAATGCAAGCAAAATGTTTGCAGTCTTGTTTGCAGTCTTTTATGTACTTAAATTCCTAAACTAGACAAGGTTTGTTTTTCTGACACTGCCTAGTGTACATTCATTCATTCATATTCGCATTTTTATTTAAATATCGCAGCATTTTTTCCCACGTTTCAAAGTACCGTCACAGAAAAGCTAAAATATCAACAACACTGTATAACACAGCAAGTGTGGACAATAAAATGTATTTTTTTCTACCGTTAAAGTCCCCCTGTTGTCAAAATCAAGTTTTTAATGTTATTTATTTGTCTATATGGTGTTTTTAATATGCCTTTAGACAAACCATGTGCCAATCTATTAATCAACACCATTGCTGAGTATTTTCTCCTTAAAACTGTAGTTTCCCAAAGGCTGACCCAGAAATACAGTTTGAAACAGCCCTCGGTTTTCTACGTCACAAACCAATAACCAATCACGTCAAGGGATCGATTCCTATCACTAGCATGCAAAATATACCAATACCTGGCTCTATATCAGCATGGCTGTGATTAGGCCAGAGGCGGAGTGATACAAAATTGTGAAAGGGCGTTCGCGTAGCGATACCAGTACAATATCTCACGGTTCTCAATCAATCAGATTTGAACAAAATGTATTAACACTTACAAACAATTTTAAAAAGATGAGTTTTAGTATTTTTGTCAAAATTAAAGTAGAAAAAAAATTTCTTTCAATTTTGCCCAGAATAAAATAATTATTTAAAAAAAAAAAATGCTGAGGTTAATATTATTAGCCCCCTAAAGAAATGATCTGTTTGATTGGCTACAGAGCAAACCACTGTTGTCCAGTGACTTGCCTAATTAACCTAATTAATCCTCTGAGCCTTTAAATTGCACTTTAAGCTGAGGATTAGTACCTTGCAAAACAACTAGTAAAATAATACTGTCATCATGGCAAAGTCAAAAGAACTTAGTTTAGACTTGAGAAAAAGAATTATTAATGCTCACAAAGGAGGAGAAGGATATACACATTTATCAAAGCGTGTCAAGAACTGCCGTGAGAAGTATTATCAAGACCCAAGAACAACTGCAAAGACACTAGTGAATGATTTAGCCAAGTCTGGGATTGATGTCTCAACGAAGACGCTCACTAGTGCCCTGCACAGGAATAGACTGTGAGGCTGCCGACCAAGAAAAGACTGAACCTCCAAGCTAGACTGAAGTTTGCCAAGGACAATCTGGAGAAAAATGATGCATACTGCAAACATGTCCTTTGGTCAGGTGAGTCAAAACTAGAGTACTTTGGCCATAGAGGGGTTACCTATGTTTGGAGAAAGAAGGGACCCAACCCAAAGAACACCGTTCCCACAGCGGCAGGTGGGAGTATAATGTTTCAGTGCGTTTGGGACTGGGAATCTCGTCAGGGTCAAAGGAAACATGAAGTCTACGAGAAGAGATTGAAAGACAAACGCAGGCAATCTACAACAAAACTTGGTTTGCATACCTCACTTCTGGTGAAGAACTACCTCCAAATGAGCAAAGTGAACGTCCTTGACTGGCCTGCACAAAGCCCAGACTTGAGTCCAATTGAAAATTTGTGGGGCACACTGAAGACCAGAGTCCATGCCAGGAGACCAACAAATCTGGAGGAGCTTGAGAGTTTCAGACGCTCCTGAAACTTGTTGAGAACTACAACAAACGACTAAAGGCTGTTATCAAGCAAAAGGGAGACACTATTGACTATTAACATCAGAGGGCTGATCATTTTGACCTGTAGACCTTTTGATTCTTGGTTATAATAAAGCAAGAAGCCGTGGTTTACAGTAAATTTATAACAGCTGAGGGGCGTTGTTAGGAGTGCCTAAAACCCCCTTAGCTGTTATAAATTCACTGTAAACCACGGCTTCACGGGGCTTATTGCTTTTATAAAACTATTATTCCATATACGTAGTAAGGTTTCACAAAATAAAACGGAGCAAATAAAGTGTAATGATATTAATAAAAACAGTATTCTTCCACCAAACAATGTAGTTCCTCAGAATCAGTTGTGGTTGCAACCATAGAGATATATACGTAGATGCCTCATTAGCGACTCTTTCTATGCGCCGCTATACGTAAGCCGTCTGCCATATTGTAACGGTCAACTTGACATCATTCACCATAGTAATCACTGAATATTTGAAAGATGCCACAATCCTGCACAGAACAGCTCAACGGCTCTGTGAGAACCTACACTCTAAAAAATGCTGGGTTGTTTCAACCCAACTTTGGGTCAAAGGTGAATGACGTCAAGCAGACCGTTCCAAGATGGCGGCCGCATCTACGTGCCTGGAGCCGTAGAATGGGGAAACTATACATATCTATGGTTGCAATAAAGTGGTTGCCAAGCAACAGACAAATGTAAAACAAAGGTGTATGTTTGTAGAGTAATTTACAACAGCTTCGAACGTGGCTCAGCCAATCAGAATCAAGGACCGGAACTATCCGATTTATAATTTTGTTTCTATTTGTATTACAAACACCCCACGTTTCCGAAATAAACTATTATGTTTAGAAATGCTGTCGGAAAAAAATCTTCGCTCCGTTAAACAGCACTTTATGTATATAATTTATTTTTATTTGTAATAATAAATATATTAACTTGGTTAATAACACACACACACATACACTGAAAAAAAAAACAATACGTAGATTTACTTAATTTTTATTTTGCAAGTTTTTGCACACACAAATTTTAAGTAAAATTTAAGTATTGAGTCAGTTAAGTAAAATCTGCTTAACCAAGTTAGGTAAAATTGGCAAAGGAAATAAGTAAATTTAACACGGCCAGTTAAGAGTTTGATGAGTAATGTCTACTTAATTATTTTGTTAAATATGCAATACTCAAGTACATTTCCCTCGGTTACAGTTTATAAAATGTACTCAAACAATGTGGCACTGGAAAACAAACATGCTATTAAAGCATGTGGTTCACTTGCAAACATGTAAGTAAGCAAGTAGACAGCTTGTTAACCTTAGAAGATAATATGTCCACTCAATATAATTATTACCTAAATGAACACAGAGACCTCAATACTTGGTACACCATACACAATGACGGTAACAATCAGTGCATAGTGTTTGAGTATAAATTGGTCATTTTGAGTAGAAAATTAACTCCAGATATCACAAACAGTAAGTTACTAAACCTAACGACAAAATCAACCATAAAAAAGAGTAAATCCAACTCGAAAACAGTGAAAATTTTAATTCATGATAAATTGATTATTCATGCCCCAGTGTATGATGGGAAAAACGGGATCACTTTGATATTTACTTAAAGAATCCTTGTAAACATAACAAACAATTCCAAGTAAAATATGCTTATAATTTCAAACTTTAATTTCTACAAGCTTAAATTGAGTAGTAATATAGAATTTATTTTTTTAATTCTTGCCTGAACTAAATTATTTAATGTAGAAATTACATTATCCAGCGGTCAGAGGGGGCAGAGGTCAAATTTAACTGCTCCATAGACATCAATGACGTGAACCAGGACCTGAATATTCTGTGGTTTAGGAACAGTAAGGAAATCCCTGATGGCATGCAGACGGAGGTCTACAGTCAAGGGACGGTCACCCTGCTGTCCACTATAAGGTAATTATGCCCAATCCTTGATTTAGTCTACCAACAGCCTTGTCAATGGATTTTTTTTTTTGTCAATATAAAGGAAATCTCTCTTTTTTTTTAATTAACAGTAATAAAATAATTGTATATTATTTTTTTATATTCATTTAAATAAATGTAAATAAATTATTTAAAATCTAAATCTCAAAATTAATTTAGGTTTTCTTTTTTTAATGCTCTTCTACAGTTCATTTAAATGATGCTTTGGTTATACAACTTCTGCGAAATGATCACATTTAAATGTTTAATGCTTTGTTTAATTTCAGCAGTGTTATGCATGTCTCAGTTGCTATTGCATTAAATTGCATCAGTCTATGAATGTTATATCTGCACAATATCAGTCATTGGCCACCTTTTTCTTTAATGCAAAATGTTTTTGGGGACTCCAAAGTTGTAAAATACAATTTTAAAGGACATTTTGTTTTGTAAATATTGTCAGAAATGTTCTTGATTTATTTCCTTTGACATTCCCTTTCAGCATTAAAAGTGTCAAGAGAGCAGATGCTGGAGAATATCACTGCAGGCTTAGTGTCAGTAACAAGATCATCGAGTCAAATCCCATCATTATAGAGGTGGAAGGCAAGTAAACCTTCAACTCGGTGACACAGACCTTTGCTTGTGCATTTTAGACATTTGATGTTCTGCCACATTTTACTCAAATCCAGGCCTGCCGACCTTCACCATACAGCCGAGTGACGTGAACATCACGAGAAACACTCCCTTCACACTGACCTGTGAGGCGGTCGGCCCTCCGAACCCTGTGACCATTAAGTGGCTTCACAAAGGCAAGAGATTTGCAGAACGCAACGAGTCTTCCAGCACCATCACCATTGAAGGTAGGAACATGTGGGATTTTTTTATGGTCCTCGGCACTTTTTCTGAACTTTGTTCCTTTGGAAGACGACTCAGACATGCTTTAGTTTCTTAACATCTTGTTGTTTGTATAGCAGAGAATCAAAAAGCCTTAAAAGTGAAAGAAAATCCCTGAGTTCAGAAATAATTTGTTGCCACAGAATTAGAACTAAGTGGAAGATTTTTGTTAGGTTACGGTAATAGATTTGTTGTCCACATGATCATTTTTTAGAGAATTGGTAGTTCTTCCACAAGGTTGTACTTTCCCTAGTGCCTGTTGACACTGAATGACCCTTCAGTACAGTGTGTTACAGATGACAAAAAACACGATG